GTGTGGGTGTGTGAGTGTGTGTGAGTGTGAGTGTGGGTGTGTGGGTGTGTGTGTGAGTGTGGATGTGTGTGTGGGTGTGTGTGTGAGTGTGAGTGTGGGTGTGTGAGTGTGTGTGAGTGTGGATGTGTGTGTGAGTGTGTGAGTGTGTGTGTGAGTGTGGGTGTGTGAGTGTGTGTGTGAGTGTGTGTGTGTGAGAGTGTGGATGTGTGGGTGTGTGAGTGTGGATGTGTGTGTGGGTGTGTGTGTGAGTGTGAGTGTGTGTGTGGGTGTGTGAGTGTGAGTGTGTGTGTGGATGTGTGTGTGAGTGTATGAGTGTGTGTGAGTGTATGAGTGTGTGTGAGTGTGAGTGTGTGACCGTGTGTATGTGAGCGTGTGTGTACGTCGTGCACGCAGATGGCCGTTGTCTAGTGTTCACGACGTATCCCGTGCTAGTCTCAGCGCTTCGCATCTATTAATTTATTAACTTCTTTAATCATCGCAACCGTCCTACATGAAGGTACTATCGTTCCTCCCATTTTACGTTAGAGGAAACTGAGGCACAGAGAGTGCAAGTCAAACCCACCAACCCACCACGCACTCCAGTGCGGATCTGAGTTTCGGTCTCACGTTTGCCGGTTCATAGCGGCGTCGCCTGATCTCTCTGAGCGTGGATTTCCCCGTTCCACCTCCTGCGCGAAACGGGCCTGAGGGTTCGGGAGCTAACCGACGCCAGCACGTCGCCAGGTGCTCAGCGCATGGCTCGTTAATTTTTGGTGCGAGGGTCCAGCCCCGCGCAGGGGAGGAGCCGTCCCAGCCGGCCTGGGGAAGGGGTCCTGGGCTCAGGGCTGCTGCGGGGCTGTGCACGGCTGGGCAGGTGGGGCCGGTACACACCGGTGGTTACGCAGATCTGCACGGGCCGTGGCAGACGACCAGCAGAGGGCAGGGAAGGGTCTTGGGAACCCGTCTCCTTGGCCTGATTTGCAGCCCTCAGGGATGCGGAGAGCTATTTTGACGCCTTTCGTTTTGCACAGTTACGACTGAAATGGGGTCGGCAGTCAGAGGGGCATCGGAGGAGCACTGCAGAGGCAGTGCTGGTTTGCATTTAAAAAAATCAAAGTAGCAGCGACAGAGAAACGAGAGCTGAGTTGGAATCCCAGTTCTGTGCGTTATTACCTGAGTAAACTCTGGTGAGCGCTTAACCTATCCGAGCTGGGTTTTCCCATCTGTGGAATGAGCAGAATGAGCTACGCCTCACAGAGGTATAACTCTTACTGGAGAAAACAATGAGTCTGGAACACGTGGCTTTGTGCCTGATAGACGTCAGGTGGCCAATGCCATGAGGTGGCTCCTCAGTCCCCTCAACCCCTACCCTCCCAACTCTGCCCTGCCAGCTCTCCCGGCTGCCAGCCGGCCACTGTGCACAAAGGGAGTGTGGTCACCCTCTCCAAACCACCCCCCCCAACCATAGCCAGCCGGATTCTGCGTGCCCAGGGACCGAGGGACGCCCTCTGGCTAGAGCAGGAGGGAGCAGGGAGCCAGGAGCACGGTGCTCAGCCCAGGTACGGCTTCGGGGGATCCGGCGGGGCTCTTACGGGAAACTGTAAGGCTGTTGCATACCCAGGCCAAGGGGCCACCTCCTTTCTGGCTGATCCTCTCAGTTCTGGGGTTTGTGTTCCTGGAGGCATGAAGTCCTTCCTCTGTCCCCTGCACCGTCTGCCTGCGGCCTCCACCCTCAGGCTGCTTCTGCCGGGAGCTGCGTGCACACACAACTCGGCGTGCTCCCGGCAGCTCTTCCTAGA